TAGAAAGGAGAGGGGACAGAACTGTTTGCGCCAATTTGAGCTCCTTGGAGAAATGGTGGGAGGGAACTGAGTTTCGGAGGAAACTGAGCAGCGTTGAGGCTGTCCCAGTGGCAAGAGGCGAATGGGAGTACCAAGGAAGTACATCAACAATCAGCTGCCGGGCAGGGAGAATTGATTGAAACCAACCCCAGCCGTCATTATTTAGATCACCAAGCAGAAAGCCTTCATTTGCAATCATTGATTTTAATCCGTTTTTCCCCATGGGTGCCTCAGTTTCCCAACCACCCGGCTCCCACCCCCAAGGAAATGTGCATAGTGATTTGTTGATATAACCGTTAAAAGCATGTTGATTTACAACCACACTGAGTTTCTCCCTGCTTTCCGCATATCTTTTCTCCTCGCTATGGCAGTAGCGTACTCCAGCAATATGCATTTATTTGAGCAATTATAGATTTCCCCACCCCACCCCCCTCTCCTCCTTTCCCCCGGTTTTTTTAATATATTTTTTAAGGAACTGCACAATTTTTACTGCTTCGGAAAACAGAGGATGGTAAATTGCTTATTGTTCAAAATAGCTCTGCCCCTGGTTTTGTGAGAGGGGAGAGATAAAATAGAAGGCTGAAGAAGCACTCTCATGGAAAATTATCAAAGAGAAAGCTGTGAAATCAATCCAACAATAAGGCTTAAAAAAATAAAAAAAGACACATGCAGATTCCCCACTGAGAAGCCTTTCAGACCTCATTTCCCTGGCAAGCCTGGTGCGCAGGCTGTAACCCCTCCTGGGTGGAGGTAGCCTGGGCCCATGTTCAGATGACCTTCAGGTTAGACTACTGCAATGTAGGTTACGTGGGGCTGCCTTTGAAGACTGTCCAGAAAGCTCCGTTTCTCTAACATCAGTTGGATGCCTTAAGGATCGCCTGAACACTGGTGGCTGTTATGTATTGAGATGTCTCTGTTTGCCTGAGCTTCAGTCTGGACTAAGATCGTGAAGCTGAGGCTCCAAGACTTTGGCCACCTCATGAGAAGAGAAGACTCCCTGGAAAAGACCCTGATGCTGGGAAAGGTGGAGGGCACAAGGAGAAGGGGGCGACAGAGGACGAGATGGTTGGACAGTGTTCTCGAAGCTACCAGCATGAGTTTGACCAAACTGCGGGAGGCAGTGGAAGACAGGAGGGCCTGGCGTGCTCTGGTCCAGGGGGTCATGAAGAGTCGGACACGACTAAATGACTAAACAACAAAACAAAGGATTCTCAGCCCCTATGTCCCGATTCGGTACATGATATCCAATCACAGAACATTTCAGGATTTGGGTCTCTGCCATTGGCCCTGAAACTCTGAGTTATGATTTGCAGCTTGGAAGTTTAGACAGCCAATCACGTTCGGAGTGGGAGTGGCCCAGGCCTTCAGAAATGTATATAAGCAGTTGCTTTGCCCCTGTTGTCTAGTTCTGTTAATTCAATAAAGTTCTTGCTGTTATTGCTGTGTCTTGCCTCGTGGGAACCCAACTGCACTTCAGTGGCCATCACTGCCTACTGTGGGAGAGAGTTCCACAGTTTAACTCGGTGCTGCGTGAAGAACTTTTTTTCCTTTTTTTAAATTTTTATTTCAAAACCAAAAAAAATGCAAACATCAAATTCAAAATCCATATTCATTTTCTTACATAAGCCTATTACATAGGATTACCTGAATTAAAATATATCTAATTGCTCCAGGCTTCCCTTTGCTATATGTAAATGCAATGCAATTAACAAATTATATTATAAATGATATTATAGGTTTCCATATACCCCCCCACTCCCCTTCACCCATGTGTGATCTCAATATTTTACTTCTTCCATCTTGTTGTGTTGTTATAATTTAATAATCAATCGATTCTATTATTATTTTCTTGCTTACCCCTGCACGTTTTACCCATTCTCTATTAATATTTCAATTCTGGAACCATATTTTTTTCATTTCTTCCTTCACTCCATCCCACTCTGAAGGACTGAAGGATCTGCCTTGAATCTTCCAGGATTCAGGTTCATTGGAGGTCAACAAGTTCGAGCATTAAGAGTTGCAGTAATTTGTAGTAAGACTGTTGTTGTTATTGTTGTTGTTGTTTAGTCGTTTAGTCGTGTCTAGTAGGAGGTGGGTGATTGACTCAATGGCTATGGTAAACCTGTTGACAACTGTTAACAACTACAGGAAAAAGCAAGGGATAGTATGCAGATGACCAAAAATAGCTTTAGCATATGCAATGAGACAATAATCCAATATCTCTATTCAGACCAGGTCTCCCCATAGTTTTCAGTTTAGTGCTGTTGTTGTTGTTTAGTCGTGTCCGGCGCTTCGTGACCCCACAGACCAGAGCATGCCAGGCACTCCTGTCTTCCACTGCCTCCCGCAGTTTGCTCAAACTCATGCTGGTCTCTTCGAGAACACTGTCCCACCATCTCGTCCTCTGTCGTCCCCTTCTCCTTGTGCCCTCCATCTTTCCCAGCATCAGGGTCTTTTCCAGGGAGTCTTCTCTTCTCATGAGGTGGCCAAAGTCTTGGAGCCTCAGCTTCAGGATCTGTCCTTCCAGTGAGCACTCAGGGCTGATTTCCTTCAGAATGGAGAGGTTTGATCTTCTTGCAGTCCATGGGACTCTCAAGAGTCTCCTCCAGCACCATAATTCAAAAGCATCAATTCTTCAGCGATCAGCCTTGTTTATGGTCCAGCTCTCACTTCCATACATCACTACTGGGAAAACCATAGCTTTAACTATACGGACCTTTGTTGGCAAGGTGATGTCCTACATTGATCAATTCTACCCAAACCTGCACATTGCTTCTATAAAGGAAAGTTCAGTGGGGAGACTGACAAATAACTGAATAACTGAAGACATCGTCAAGGTTTCAACTTTCCATGATATAAGGAAGCATCGGGGAGGCTTCAGATCTCACGTTAAAGTTGCCTCTCATTCGCCTTGATCTCTCCTTGGCTTTCAGTACTGTTGACCACAGTTTCCTTCTGGGGCATCTCAGTGAAGATCACAGAATCTTAGAGTTGGAAGGGACCCAATGGTCATCTAGTCCAACCCCCTGCGATGCAGGAATCTCAGCTAAAGTGTCCATGGCTGATCCACCCGCTGCAAGGAAGGAGAACCCACCACCTCTTGTGAGAGTCTGTTCCACTGCTGAACAGCTCTTACTGTCAAAAAGTTTCCCCAGCTATTTAGTCAGAATCTCCTTTCTTGAAGCTAATGGTTCCGAGTTCTACCCTCCAGAGCAGGAGAGAACAAGCATGCTCCCTCTTCCATGTGACAGCCCTTAAGATATGTCACATGCAAGGAGTGGGTTGGCGGCTCTGCACCTCAATGGTTCCACTCCTACCTCCAGGTCCATTTCCAGAAAGAAGTCATGGGAGGTGACTGTTCATCACCATGGGAGGTGTCCTGCAGTGTCCACGGGGTTCCACCTGGTCCCCCATGCCGTTTAGCATTTATGTGAAGCCTCTGAGATACGCCATCAGATTTTAATGTTTGATGTATTACAGTATTTTAATATTTTTTTGGAAGCCGCCCAGAGTGGCTGGGGAAGCCCAGCCAGATGGGCGGGGTATAAATAATAAATTATTATTATTATTATTATTATTATTATTATTATTATTATTATTATTTGGAGTGATGTGCCACCAATCTGCAGTTGACTCCCAACTCGGTCGCTCTGCTCCATCTGAATCAAGAGAGGCGGTTGAGTGCATGGAGGTTGTGATGTTTTTGGTGTGCGCCAACGAACTGAGCCCTGTTCCTCAAAAGGCAGAGGTGTTATGCATCCCAGGTTTTCACGCCTGGGAGGTTGCATTCCCATGGAAGGAGCAGGGGGTCTCCTGTTTTTTTTGTTTTTTTTTTAATAATTTTTATTGCATTTTTTCAGACACAGACAGAAAACCGACAAAGAAAAAATAAACGAAAAATGTAAAAGAAAAGAAAAAAATCATGACCCTTCAACATCTTATTCCAACTTTCCATCGAACTTCCCCGCATCTCCCGCACAATGCATTCTTAATAATAAATTTATCAGCAAATTGTAACCTTGTTTCATGTGTTTCTTTGGTACTTTCAGTTGCAATTTAAGTTTAAATCCCTTATTGTCCATTTACCCTGGAAACAAAACATATTATCATTCTTAACATTTAAACTTTGATTCTTTCAATAATATTATCCAATTTCATAAATATTGCACTCTCATTGCTGGGGCTAGCATTTCAGATTATGCGTCATTTTATAGTTCATATAACTTATAAAATTTTTGTAAATAGTTCTTAAATTTTTTCCAGTCCTCCTCCATTGCTTCTTCTCCCAGGTCTCGGATTCTGGCAGTCATTTCGGCCAACTCCATATAGTCAATCAGTTGCGTTTGCCACTCTTCCAGCGTGGGGAGCAGGGGGTCTCCTTGGGGGGTTCAGGTAGCCTCCGTGATGAGGAGTTGCCTTTTTCACCAGTTACGGCTCCTTTTGGACAGAGATGACTTGGGGCCTGTCCTTGAAGATGACTTCAACTGGTCCAAAATGGAGCAGCCAGATTGCTGGTTGGGGTTTGATAGACATCTCATATAACCTGCTTTAAAACACCTGCACTGCTCATTTCCGGGTCCAGTACCTCACAAAGCCCTAAACAACCCAGGACCCAAATATCTGAAAGAGCACCTCCTTCCCATCTTGGGTGCTGAGATTGGTAGGGGGCCCTCTTGGTAGCTCCTCCACCCTCAGAGGTTCAGGGTGGGGTGGGGTGGGACAGGGTCTTCCATGTGGTGGCTCCTAAACTGTGAAACTCCCTCCCCACAGAGATGCATCTGATGCCCTCAGCATACAGCTTTCGGAGAATGCCAAAGACATGCCTCTTTCTCGCCTGGCTTTTGACATCTGAGGTGTATATTTTCCAGACCCGCCTTGTTTTTGTGATTGTAAATTGTTCTGAGCTGTTTCTTTCTGCAGTGGTATTTTCCTCCAGTGACATCAATTTCTGTCTTCCTTAGGCATGAACGTCATGGAGAGTTCCCCTTACGAACCCTTTGTGAGGGGCTTTGACTACGTCCGATTGGCTTCCATCACTGCAGGTATGTCTTCGCAGGGATGTTCCCCTTGTCCCTAGCCCCAGGCGGTCACTTAGAAGTGGCAGGAAAATGGACTTCAGCTCCCTTGTGATCCCAGGAAGTCTCTCTCCAAGACTCCAAGCAAAGCCTTTACACTTGCCTGAACTGTTTTGATTTCTGCCCATGCTGACATAAGCAGGAGAATCAAACGTTTTCTGCTCCTTCCTTCTTTCTCAGAGGTCCTCCAGAGGCCACCTTGGTTTTCCACCAGTGGTCAGTTCTGTGGGAATGTTCAGGGAGGCAGGAGATGATATATTGTTTATTCATATCCTTCCTAACTTGCGCTGGCAAGTTCCTTTACTTAGCAGAGTTTCACATTCCCCTTTTAAACACACAGCAGATAGCTGGCTGCAGGCTCGTGTAAGCCTCTCACTATTATATACAACTCAGTATTGAATTGTATATTCCTGGTAAGTTCCCTTTTCCCCCTCTTAAAAGAATAAACACACGACAATCTTGTGTAAAGTATATAAAATAAGTTTACTCACACATTCAGTTCACAGTTGGATCCCTGAAGGCAGACTTAGTTACAAAGTATATCCATGTGGACCTATCCCATTTGGGGATAATCCCAAGGTCCTCCATTGGCTGGAAGCCAACAGAGCATCTCTTGCTAAAGAGCTGCTCCAATTATGAAGGAAGTCAAAAAGAGGAAAGAGGGAGTGTCCAGTGTGCCTTGTGCTTTTGTTACCTGGACAGGTAAGGTCACACGCACCTCTAATCACATGCAAAGGATGTATGCCCCAGCAAGGAGGAAACAGGAAACTCTCAACTGGCTGGACCAAACATTCCCCCACACGTCCACTCTAGGAAAACAAGGAATGTTGTACTTGACTGCTACTTATGTATCACATCCCACAAGTTCCTCTTCTTGCCCACAAATCTAAGGCTGCAAATGCACCATATGTTTAAAGCACATTTCCTGTGCCCACACACAAAAAATAATCATGGGAACTGTAGTTTTCTCCTACAGGCTACAGTTCCTAGAACCCATGGCAAACTACAGTTCTCAGGATCGGGGGAAGGAAGTACTTGAAATGTATGTAGACACACTGAAATTAATAACCATGGCTAACTTTGGTCCATTAATTTCAGTGCGTCTACTCTGAGTAAAAGCCAACCTATTTTCTGCCTCTGCCTTTATCCTTTGCAACTAGCATAGATTCCCCATTCCGGGCACCCAGTTCCTTTGCAGACAGCTGCAAAAGAAGCCTAGCATTGTTTCCACTACCATACCACCCTCAAGTGGACACGGGTGGGGGTGTGGGTTAAACCACAGAGTCTAGGACTTACCGATCAGAAGGTCGGCAGTTCGAATCCCCGTGACGGGGTGAGCTCCCGTTGCTCGGTCCCTGCTCCTGCCAACCCAGCAGTTCGAAAGCATGTCAAAGTGCAAGTAGATAAATAGGTACCACTCTGGCGGGAAGGTAAACGGCGTTTCCGTGCGCTGCTCTGGTTCGCCAGAAGCAGCTTAGTCATGCTGGCCACATGACCCGGAAGCTGTACACCGGCTTTCTCAGCCAATAAAGTGAGATGAGCAATGCAAGGATGGGCATTTCGGACTGGCGTATCTCTGCCCCGCAGGCTCCGAGAACGAGGTCACCCAGGTGAACCGCTGCTTGGATGCCGCCAAGGCCTGCAATGTGGACGAGGTTTGCCAGCGCCTTCGGACCGAGTACGTCTCGTCCTGCATCCGCCGCACGGCCCGGGCGGACACCTGCAACCGCTCCAAGTGCCACAAGGCCTTGCGGAAGTTCTTTGACCGCGTGCCCCCCGAGTACACGCACGAGCTGCTCTTCTGCCCCTGCGACGACACGGCCTGCGCGGAGAGGCGCAGGCAGACCATCGTGCCCACCTGCTCCTACGAGGCCAAGGAGAGACCCAACTGCTTGGCGCCGCTCGACTCCTGCCGGGTGAACTACGTCTGCAGGTACGTTGCATTTCGCGCCCCGTTGCCACTGCAAAGTGGAACTCTGTTTCTGTGGTTCGTTTTGCATACCGTACACCCCTGCATATTTTACATGAACTAAACCATCCAGTAATCCATTCTTACATCCATCAAATCTTATTCACACTGTTGAATTTATCTCAATGCTTCTGGCATTTTTGAATGAACACAACTTTCACCCATTTATTCAGTAAACATTTCCCAGTCTTCTTTAAACATGCATTCTTCTCATTCTGTTATTCTATATGTTAAATCTGCAAGCTGCACGTATTCCATCAGTTTAATTTGCCATTCTTCTTTCTTGCTCATTTTCCATCTTGGGGCTAACAAAACAGTAGTAGCATACATAAATAGTCTTTTTTGACACCTCGGAATTTCCCTATGAATTATCCCCAACAAAAAGCGCTCTGGTTTTTTTGGAAAGATACTTTTAAACATTTTTTTCAATTCATTTTATATCATTTCCCAATATTCTTTTACCCTTTTACACTTCCATCACATATGATAAAACGTACCCTCAACCTCTTCACATCTCCAGCACTTAACTGATTCGGACTTATATATTTGAGTAAGTCTACTCGGAGTTAAATACCATCTGTAAATCATTTTCAGGTAGTTTCATGGTATGCAAAATGAACCGCAGAAAGAGAAGAGGGGAAGTCGTTGATTTGAGGTTGTTTAAATGAATATTTTGAAATGCAATTTAGAAAATTTAATAAATTTATATTTATATAGGAAAGTGGAACTCTGGAGCCTGAGGTTAAAAAAGAAAGCCCGTCTCTTTTCCCCTTATAGAGGTGCTGGAAAAGAGGCCACGGCGTGGGGTTTCTTTTTCATGCACCCAGCCCCTTGGTGCAGAGCAAACATCCAGTTTGATGTGCTTAAGAAACATGGTGCTGGCGATCAGGTCCAGCTCACTGTTAGTCCCAGTCATCAGTATAGAAAGTAAAAAATAAAAATGTTCTTTTGTCCTTTGTTTTGCACAAAGAGAGCGAGAGAAGCCTTTGATTGGGATGCCCTTGGTCCTGAGCAGGCTTGAGTTATCTGTACACGGAAATAGACCAATGGGAACCCTTGTCTTTGCTGGAGCTGCAACATGGTGTCAGAAATGTATGACACCCTTGTGTTTGCGCGTGTGGAAACTCTGCTTGAGTTTGGGGCAAAAGCTGCACAGCATCTTTCTCCCTTGACGTTGGCGCTTAGCAGTGCCACTGGAGCTCACAGGAGATAGATAGAGAGATAGAGAAATAGATAAGTTACCTTCTAAACACATGCATTAAAAATTGTGTCCATAGTGAAGAATGAAAAGCAGGTGCAAGAACCTGGATGTATCCGAGGTGACATGCTTCTGAACGCCAGCAGCTGGGAATCACAAGTGGGGAATCATAGAACTGTTGGAAGGGATTCCAAGGATCTTCTCGTCCAACCCCCTGCAAGGCAAGAATCTTATAGCCCTTGCTGAAAGGCACGGCAGTGAAAAACTTCTGGAGGCCATCAGGCTGGGAAAGGCTGCCTAGTCGAGGGTCCTCTTTTGATATGAGCATGTCAAATTGCAGATAACTTCTCCCCTTTTGTCTCTCTCCCAGATCCCGTTACGCCGAGTTCCAGTTCAACTGCCAATCCTCTGCGCAGTCTGCGACAGGGTGCCAGAGGGAGAATTACGCTGCCTGTCTGCTGGCCTATACTGGGATCATAGGTACATAACAGGGATTTGCTTAAATTTTGCTTGTTTTCAGCCGCCCAGAAAAATCGCTGCCATGTTGATTCAAACATTGCTCCATTGGTGATTCCTCCATGCTGAAGTTTACAGCCCTAACTGGCACAGAATGTGACCGGAAACCCAGGGTCCTTTGCAACATTGCAAAGCATCAGATCATGTGTAGCTTAATGCCAGTGTGGTGTAGTCGTTAAGAGTGATAGACTCGTAATCTGGTGAACCGGGTTTGCGTCTCCGCTCTTCCACATGCAGCTGCTGGGTGACCGTGGGCTAGTCACACTTCTCTGAAGTCTCTCAGCCCCCTCACCTCACAGAGTGTTTGTTGTGGGGGAGGAAGGGATAGAAGAATGTGAGCCGCTTTGAGACTCCTTCGGGTAGTGATAAAGCAGGATGTCAAATCCAAACTCTTCTTAATGCTTAAAATAAAAGACAGCAGCAGCAGCATTTTACTTAAAACCCACAGTTGAAGAAGAAGAAAAGTTTGGATTTGATATCCTGCTTTATCACTATGTGGAGGAGCGGGGAAGCGAACCCGGTTCACCAGATTACGAGTCCACCGCTCTTAACCACTACACCACACTGGCTCTTTTTATTCTGTTGTTGACTGCAACAATATACCCATCTCAACCTTTCAAGGGGTTCATCCACACTTTTGCTTGACCCATATTTTGATCATATTATTTACCAATTAATTACCCTGAGTCCAAGAACTTCACTCTTTGTTCTGTGGTTGTGCCTTATGAAAATCCTGTCTTACCCGCTGAGCTGAATCTTGGTTAAACAAAAGCTCTCTGGATTTTCCACGCATCTGGTGCTTCTAAGAAAATTGCCAAATCCCTTTGGCCACATAGACACCCCGGTCATTGACAGCAACATGATGGCACTTTAAACATTCATGGTTTCCCTCAAAGAATTCTGGGAGCTGCAGTCTGGTGAGGGTGCTGAGAGTAGCTAGGAGACCCCCTGTTCACTTTCCAGAACTACAATTCCCAGAGCTCCCTGGGAAGAGGGATGGATTGTGAAACCGCTCTGGGAATTGTAGCTCTGGAAGGGGAATGACAACTCTCAGCACCCTGAACTACAGCTCCCAGAATTCTTTGGACTGTTCCAAGTGGAATCACGGTGCTTTAAATGCATGATATGAATATGGGCGTTTTTATCGGGAGCAGCTATTCCTGACCTGTTGCCAGAGTTTGACATAGGATTGGGTTTTGTCCTCCCCTCATCAACAAATATTCTCTCTCCCTCTCCCTATTTCCCACTCCCCATTCCACCTCCTGGCAGGTAGTCCCATCACCCCAAACTACATCGACAACTCGACGTCAAACATTGCACCCTGGTGTACGTGCAACGCTAGCGGGAACAGGCAGGAGGAATGCGAGAACTTCCTACACCTCTTCACAAAGAATCTCTGCCTCCGTAAGTATAGGCTTGCCATACGGCAGGAAAATTCCTGACATGTCCTGTTTTTTCAGGTGTCAAAATGGCATCAGGGTAGGGGGCATTTTGCCGAAGCATCAAAATGTCAGGGGAAACCTGACATTTCGGGGAGTTCCCCCCCCCCTCAAAAAAAAACCTGAACAATTTTGTTTTTGGTTTTTAAAAATTGTTTTTATTTGATTTTTACAAATTCATTCATGCAGGTAATATTATAACAAATAATAAACATTGCACAAGATTCTTCCGAATCTCAAGACTTCCCTCCACTCCTCCGTGGGTTCGTTAAGTAGCTTTTTTAACTGCACATCTGTCTAATTCATGGGTAGGCAAACTAAGGCCCGGGGGCCGGATGCGGCCCAATCGCCTTCTCAATCTAGCCCATGGACAGTCTACATGAGTAGAATGTGTGCTTTTACAGTGGTGCCTCGCAAGACGAAATTAATTCGTTCTGCGAGTTTTTTCGTCTTGCGAATTTTTCGTCTTGCGAAGCACGGTTTCAAAAGAAGTTTTGGAAAAGCTTCAAAAATCACCAAAGTCTTCAAAAACCTCAAAAAAGGCTACCACACCGCGTGCAACTGCACCTCTTCAAGCAATGCACCCTGGGTATTAACGGTTTTAAGAAAAAGGAAACAAACTTCCAAGACGTTTTCGTCTTGCGAAGCAAGCCCATAGGGAAATTCGTCTTGCGAAGCAACTCAAAAAACCAAAAACCCTTTCGTCTTGCGAGTTTTTTGTCTTGCGAGGCATTCGTCTTGCGAGGTACCACTGTATTTAAAATGCATCTCTGGCTTATTTGTGAGGCATAGGAATTAATTCATACAGTATATATTTTTCAAAATATAGTCCGGCCCCCCACAAGGTCTGATGGACAGTGGACTGGCCCCCTGCTGAAAAAGTTTGCTGACCCCTGGTCTAATTCACCACCCTGCATTGTATCCAAAACCTATGTATCATTGCAAGAGTTATTTGAAGCATGCCCAAGAGTTCGTGTTTACGGTGGTCTTTTAAGTCCAATATATATTTGTCCCATTCTTTCTTTCGATCCTCCTGATTTCTGACTTTCCCACTTAATCTTGCCATCTCTGCATAGTCCAGTAATTTAATTTCTGCTGGTCTGCCCTGGTGGGTATCTTGTAATCCTTTCAGCTCTGGGCAAGAAAAGCTAAACAATTGGGGTGGTTTCCTAAAATAAATAAATCGCTTTTTGAAATATGGGAACCCGGCGGTTCTCCTTCCTTCTCTCCCATGCCCAAAACCAGGGTCACCTCTGAGTAAGGAGAATCCTTCTCCTCCAAAACGGATGTCTCAGTCCTTGAGAGCGGCGTGAGGAGGAGGAGGAGGAGGTGAAGCGGGCAGCCAGGCCTTTCAAATGTCAGAAGCAGGGAAGAAAAATCTCTGGCAGGTTGAGCACGTCAAGACTCATCAGCGTCCTGAGAAGGACGCGAGGCTGTCGAGACTCAAGGAGATCTGACAAGAGCGGACCTTGCAACAGATTGGATCTCGGCGGCTGCTAAGGACGGAGCGCCCCCTCTTTACGAGAACTCTCTGACAAGGGCAGCCTCGTGGCCTCGAGGGTGCTAACTTCGCCAGCACAGCGGCCAGACATTCAGTGCCCGGCTTCTCTGAGCCTCTTTAGATGGTGGGAAGAGGGCAGCAATAGGTCAGGAAAATCCTTGCCTTCCTTTAGCATCTCCTGCACACCTGAGTTCAACTACCGCATTGTTACAATGGGATTCCTTTATGGCATATCTCAGCCACAGATGCTTACATTTTAACGTTTCAATGGGATGGCATTATTGCATTTCTTCATTGCGGCTTTTAACTATGCATGTGTATATTTTACTCCTTCTAATTTGTTGTTGTTATTTATTAAAGTTGCATACCCATATGCATGCCCAGAGATCTCAGGAGATGAAGCTGAGGACTCATAAAAGAAGAAGGAATTGCCCTCACGGCCTGTCAGGGACCGTGCTGAGGAGGGCTGCACTGAGGAGAAATGGTGGGAGACACTCTCTCCCCCTGCTCCTGATCTGGACCCTGAATCTTCCCAGGAGCAGGAAGGCAGTATAATAATATAATAATAATAATTTATTATTTATACCCCGCCCATCTGGCTGAGTTTCCCCAGCCACTCTGGGCGGCTCCCAATCGAGTGTTAAAAACAATACAGCATTAAATATTAAAAACTTCCCTGAACAGGGCTGCCTTCAGATGTCTTTTAAAGATAAGATAGCTGCTTATTTCATTCACATCTGAAGGGAGGGAGTTCCACAGGGCAGGCGCCACTACCGAGAAGTCCCTCTCTCTGGTTCCCTGTAACCTCACATCTCGCAGGGAGGGAACCGCCAGAAGGCCCTTGGAGCTGGACCTCAGTGTCCGTGCTGAACGATGGGGGTGAAGATGCTCCTTCAGGTATACAGGACCGAGGCTGTTTAGGGCTTTAAAGGTCAGCACCAACACTTTGAATTGTGCTCAGAAATGTAGTGGGAGCCAATGCAGATCTCTCAGGACCGGTGTTATGTGGTCCTGGCGGCCACTCCTAGTCATCAGTCTAGCTGCCGCATTCTGGATTAATATAGATTTGGAACAGTGGTTTGTAGAGGGACATAGTTCAGAAGGCAGAAGCTGGGAAATAGTGGATGGGGAACAGCTAGAAGAAGAAGAAACAGTGGGAGAGAGGGACGTAAAAGATTCACACACACACCCTTTTCCAAGGACATGGAGAGCTCAGAAAAGTGTCAGAACAGAAAACACAGAGACTGCAAACTCAGATTACAATACATAGTTTAATGGGGGGGTTACCCTTAATTGGGAGCACCACCATTTCTAGTAGACGTGTTCTTTGTTCTCGCACTGTGATTATTAAAGATTCTAAGTGGTAAGACGTTCCTTTCATTTGATCTTTTGTTTACTTCCGATTTCCCGAAGTCGATTCCCCAAAACCTGACAGGGCCATCCCCAGTTGTGCATACCTACACCAGAAGTAGTTTCACAAGCAGACTCTGTTTGTGCCAGGACCTCCCTTGCTCAGAGGCCAGATTCCTCTCCTTTGGCGTAGGGGACTCAGGCTTACAAACTGTAGAGCAGGCATAGGCAAACTCGGCCCTCCAGATATTTTGGGACTACAATCCCCATCATCCCTGACCACTGGTCCTGTTAGCTAGGGATGATGGGAATTGTAGTCTCCAAACATCTGGAGGGCCGAGTTTGCCTATGCCTGCCATAGAGGAACCACAGTCTGCCCGAGTCAATGACTGCTAAAGTAGGCTGGGCCCTTTAAATTGAGTGGCTCCTCCTGCTGAAGTTGGGGCTCCCAACCAAGGTTGACCAGCAGCTCCTATTTAAGGCTCAGTCAGAGGCTGGCTGGTGCTGAAACAACATTTAAGTGCTGCTCTTGTGGAATCTATAGCCTGAGCTGCCCGATGTCCTTGCCTTGCCTGCTGCTCAAAACTCTCCAAAGTCTCAACAAGTTAAACCCCTGGACTAGGGAGCAGCTGCATCATGTCTCTGGTGCAAATGCATGCAAATTTATGTGCATGAACACTCAGGCACCATGCCGGGCACAGCCTGCCGTTTCACACCGCTGCGGTATATTTCAAAACATCGATAAGTGATCCTGGGACAATTAGGCTGTTTTCTAGCATACCTTTCACCAAAAGAACACAAACACCCTTTCTGGCTTTTAAATCACAGGAAGACAGGCTGTTGTAGAGTAAATTGCAGTGTGAAATCAGGTGAAAATGGGGATGGGAGAACGCGTTCCTGGCCACGAGAAGTCCTGTCTTAGGAGCATATCCCACGACATCGCCTGTAAATGAGGAGAGGGTTTGCTGCAGAAGCATTTCTGAAACTGGAGCCTGGAAACCGCACATATCAGATTAATATCTCCGGCCCTCGACATGTGGCAAGGGGGCAGAGGGAGTGGAGATCTTTAAATGAAAAAGGGACTGGGATACATAAATCATCTCCCTCCGTCTCCACAAGGCAGTTAAATTATTCACATTACACAGGAGTGCACTTGGAGAGTTTTAGGACTTTAGAGAAGAACGCATATTACAGGGAGACCACATCTAGTGGGTGAGGATATGAGACATGTTCCCAGAGCCCAAACACAGAGTGGGTTTTGCTCAGCAAGCAAGGCGGCGAACTTAAAAGGTCTTTACTTGTGGGGTTGCCCCAATCAGACCTGTTTCCAAAGGAGATTTTAAGCTCTTCACCGTGCTTCATTGGCGGCCCACAGTTTTTAGAGTTTGGAGAGAGGGAGGAAAAACCTCATTCTCTCTCCACTTACCCTGTGCCACACATAATTTTATAAACTCCTGTAATAATAATTTATTATTTATACCCCGCCCATCTGGCTGGGTTTCCCCAGCCACTCTGGGCTGCTCCCAACAGAATATTAAAAACAGGATAAAACATCAGTCATTAAAAACAGGGCTGCCTTCAGATGTCTTCTAAATCAGTGTTTCCCAACCGGTGTTCCGCGGCACACGAGTGTGCCGTGAGACGTTGCCTCGTGTGCCGCGAGATGCCTGGAGGGAGGCGGGCGAGTCGGGCGGCGAGAGGCGGGGCGGCGGCGGCGAGGAGAGGCCGCGCCTCCTGCTGCTGCCTGGCGCTCCTCCTCGCAGCCGGCAGCGCTGCCTGGGCGCCTCCGCGCGACTCTGCCTCGCTGGGTTTGGTCTCCCAGCAGAGACGGGTCACATGCGCCCCTCCCTCCCTCCCTCAGCCTGCGCGGAGGGAGAGCCAGAGAGAGGCATCGCTCCTGCGCGGCGGGAGAGGGAGCAGCCGGAGCGATGCCCCAAACGAACGCATGGGACCGGAGGGAAATCCTCTCCGAGGCGGATTGAGCGCAGCTGAGAGAAGCCTTTCGAGGAGCTGCCGTGTCCCCTGGAAACCCCCTTCCCAGCTCTGCCTCAGCCGCCGCCGCCTCAGTTGCCGCCGTCCCTCAGTCCCTCGCTCTGCTGCCTCCTCCCACCCCAAAGCTTGGAGGTTCCCCAGCAAGGGGGAGGGAAAAAACTTTCACTTTTGTGCGTCCCTCCCGGCGTGACGCTGCGCGCTGACGTCACGGGGCGGGGCTTTAATGGTGGTGTGCCGCGAGATTTTTTTTCAGTAAACAGGTGTGCCGTTGCCAAAAACGTTTGGGAAACACTGTTCTAAATGTCAGGTAGTTGTTTATTTCCTTGACATCTGATGGAAGGGCATTCCACAGGGCGGGTGCCACTATCAAGAAGGCCCTCTGTCTGGTTCCCTGTAACTTGGCTTCTTGCAGGGAGGGAACGCCAGAAGGCCCCCGGCACTGGATCTCAGTGTCCGGGCAGAACAATGGGGATGGAGACGCTCCTTCAGGTATACAGGACCAAGGCCGTTTAGGGTTTTCAAGGTCAGCACCAACACTTTGAATTGTGCTTGGAAACGTACTGAGAGCCAATGTAGGTCTTTCATAACCGGTGTTATGTGGTCTCGGCGGCCGCTCCCAGTCACCAGTCTAACTGCCGCATTCTGGATTAGTTGCAGTTTCCAGGTCACCTTCAAAGGGAGCCCCATGTAGAGCGCATTGCAGTAGTCCAAGCGGGAGCTATCATTACATTCAAAGTATAAGGCAGCTTCCTGTGTAGAAACGAGGGAGACGATCCTGCTTTCCTCTTCCAGAGAATGCCATCCAGGCCTTTGGCAACGGGACGTACCTGAGCGCCGCCCTGGGCTCCTCCACCCCTCCCACGACGCAGATGCGCAAGCAGGAGAGGAACGCCAACAAGGCAGCAGCCACCCTCAGAGAGAACATCTTCGAACAGCTACAGCCCACCAAGGTAGGCAGAGGATGCAGCCCAGGGAACAAGCAGGGTAGCCGTGAATGACGTTTTCAACACCATCCTACCTTACATAGAGGAAATTTGAGCAGACACAGGCCAAGGGACACCCTCCTTGGACCATCAACCAGCATCGCTCCCACCCGCAGGCTGCTTGCAGCTTTTGCACTGCCTTTCCAGATGTTCCTATAAGTCTCTGAAAGTCTTTGTAGACTATGCAAGTCTCTGAAAGAAGCAATAGGTCAGATACTTGCTTGGTGAAAACAAGCCGTAATTCTTCTTCAGCACATGTTATGTAACGTTATGACCACTGCTCCATAGCTATTGTTGTTATACCATTCCATTCACCACATAGATGGGTTTATGAAGCATTTCTGCATCCTTCTGCTGTGCTGAAGAATTCCACGAAACAGTGAGTATATCCGGAATCACTCTTCACAACGTCTATTTGCGGACCACTTCAGCAGCTTTGGACGTCATAAAACAAAGCTTTACGGCTTGTTTTCACCAGATAAGAATCTGACCCATTGCTTCTTTCAGAGACTTGCATAGTCTACAAAGACTTTCAGAGGCTCATAAGACTTATGTTTATTTGGTTCTATGTTTTCAAGAGAATCCATCAAGAGTGCACATTTTGTGACTTTCAGAGATTTATAAGATTTCTGTTTGTTTGGTTTTGCAGAGAGTGCATATTTCACATTGTTCAATGTTCCGTATCGATTATATAAAGAGTTTGTATTAATATTGCATTGTTGTGTTTGGTCATCGTGTTGCCTTGGATATTACTGATAATTGTTTGCAACACAGGGCTTTAATTGTTTGGTTATTTTCCAGAAGTTCTGACAACCAGTTGTTTCATTCAGAAAGAGACCTAGGTGGTATCTGATGCAGGAGAACCGCTAGAACAATGATTGCCAGCTCCTCAAAGGAATTTGCCCTCCCTCTCACCATGAACGGGCGAGGGCACTCCTCTAAATCTGTTCTGGAGATTCCCCCAATCTTCCAGGACAGATTTGGGGAGGGCTCCCTGTTCTAGAAGCAAGCACACAAACATTGCAATACGTATAGAATCATGGAATTGTGGAGTTGGAAGAGACCACGAGAGTCACCTAGCTCAACCCCCTGCAATGCAGGAATCTTTTACTCAATGTGGGTCTTGAACCCCGAGATTAAGAGTTTGTTCTGGGTATAAGCTTTCGTGTGCATTCACACTTCTTCAGATACACTGAAGGAGAAATCACCAGACCCTTATATATAGTGGGAGGGTGGGGTAGGGTTTTTCTCAGAAGGGTAGTAGGAGATGGGTGATTGACTCAATGGGTATGGTAAACCTGTTGATGACTGTTAACGACTGCAATTAGTCCTACAGGAAAAAGCAAGGGATTGTGTGCAGATGACCAAAAATAGCTTGAGAATATGCAATGAGACAAGAATCCAATATCTCTATTCAGACCAGGTCTCTCCATAGTTTTCAGTCTAGTGTTGTTGTTGTTTAGTCATTTAGCCATGTCTGACTCTTTGTGACCCCCTGGACCAGAGCACGCCAGGCACTCCTGTCTTCCACTGCCTCCCGCAGTTTGGTCAAACTCATGCTGGTAGCTTCGAGAACACTGTCCAACCATCTCATCCTCTGTTGTCCCCGTCTCCTTGTGCCCTCCATCTTTCCCAACATCAGGGTCTTTTCTAGGGAGTCTTCTCTTCTCATGAGGTGGCCAAAGTCTTGGAGCCTCAGCTTCAGGATCTGTCCTTCCAGTGAGCACTCAGGGCTGATTTCCTTCAGAATGGATAGGTTGGATCTTCTTGTAGTCCATGGGACTCTCAAGAGTCTCCTCCAGCACCAGAATTCAAAAGCATCAATTCTTCGGCGATCAGCCTTTCTTTATGGTCCAGCTCTCACTTCCATACATCACTACTGGGAAAACCGTAGCTTTAACTATACAGACCTTTGTCGGCAAAGGTGATGTCTCTGCTTTTTAAGATGCCGTCTAGTAATAAGTTGTAATTCAGCAACTTCTCTTGCTTTTTCCTGTAGGACTAATTGCAGTTGTTTACCATAACCATGGAGTCAATCACCCATCTCCTACTACCCTTCTGAGAAAAACCCCACCCTCCCACAATATATAAGGGTCTGGTGACTTCTGTTTCAGTGTATCTGAAGAAGTGTGCATGCACACGAAAGCTCATACCCAGAACAAACTTAGTTGGTCTCTAAGGTGCTACTGGACAATTTTCTTTAAAAAATTCACCAGTGACATTTCATTATGTACATGGACCCTAAAAGGGTCGAGCTAGATATTCTGAGATGCGTATTTAGGGAGGGTTAGGAACATTTGCGGAGCAGAAGTGGGGTGGGTGCTCAACCCTACCTCATCCCCCAGTTGTCCTCAGTGACTCTCCGTACCTCAGCCATTTCCCCCTTCTTCTGAAGTCAGGTTTCCCAGTCAAGTGCTGTGAAACCCAGTGGAAGGAGAGGATTCAGCGGAAGGGCATAGGGAAGGGAGAGGGTTAAGCACACCGGCACACACCTGCTGCTTCTTTAGCAGAAATGCTGCCCCTACTTTGCACTCAAGAAGCGAGTGAGCTCAGAGTCTGTTGCCAAGAGACTGCTTCCAGCTTTGATTCATTTTTATTCCATGAAGTTGTAATCAGGGGTGAGGGAGGAATTCGAACCAGTTCTCATTTAAAGGCGAACCTCACTCATTGGCACTAAGAGCCGAAGCACAATTCCTTTGAAATCTGCATGTCCCTGAATTTTGCAGGGCTGCTTCTCCAGCCAAGTAACATGGTCAAACCTGCATATATTGGGGGAAAGTGCATTTAATGTATGCATTAGTGAAAATGGCTTGCATTGTAGTTGGGGAAAATCCCTTTGCAAAATTGTGCGTCTAAGGAAAAAATGCATATAGAAATGAGAGCATTAGCAGAAATTTGCAATAAAACGCTGATCAGTTTTGACGAGGACCTTCTATTTTTTCTTAAACAATCACAAGCTGGTGTGGAAATGGGGAGAGCTGAACCTACGACTGGAAACGGGGAGGAACTGAAATTGATAGATCCACCTGCTTCTAAGAAGTTGTTTGTTTTCCCCCTTTGATTTGAAAGTCATGTGTGCACCAGCAACAGCAGCAGCAACACCAGATCCAATAAGATTGCCTTGCTGGGAATTCTTCCTTTGGCTGCTGCCGCGTTTCTTCCCTGCTCGGAGCTGAACTTCCTTTGCCATTTTTAACTCCTCCTGGCGCCCAGCAGCTGTGGGATAAGAGAAGAGCTAAGCCGATTAGACAGCAGGAGCAGGAGGTTTCAAAGGAACGGCATCTAACATCCCTACTCCCAGCTTACGGAGAAAGGCTTGTGAAGCTGCATCTCTGTTCAAGGAGCTGTCTCTCCTGAAACCGGGGAGGGAGGGAGATTTTCCCCATTGAATCAAACTCATTTCTGTGTGCCTCCCCAAATTCGTGCCACAAAGCAGTAAAGTCAACAGATTTCCAGGAACAGGACTGTTTGCGTCCCAGTATTTGGCTCTGCCCAATGTGGAAGGCAACGGTTCTTCACGCCAACCAGAGAGACAAAGTAATAATAATAATAATAATAATAATAATAATAATAATAATAATAATAATAATTTATTTATACCCTGCCCTCCCCAGTCAAGATCAGGCTCAGGGCGGCTAACACCAAATATAAAAACAAGATTGCTTAAAAAACAAAATTTAAATACAACATTAAAACATTAAAATGCAGCCTCATTTCAGTGGAACTCAATCAAAAACTTTTTTGGGGATAAAAATGTCAAATCTTCACCAATGCCAACTATCCAGACTGGTCCTACATGGGAAAAAAAGCCAGGGAAGTCCCCAAATAGGAGTTCCATCACAGAAGGAGAAAGAAAAAGGAAAAAGGAAAGCGGGGAAGGGGATCAAGTTGATTCCAAGCCAAAGGCCAGGAGGAACAACTCTGTCTTACAGGCCCTGCGGAAAGAAATCAGATCCTGCAGGGCCCTGGTCTCATGAGACAGAGCGTTCCACCAGGCTGGGGCCAGTGTTGAAAAGGCCCTGGCTCTGGTTCAGGCTAATCTAACTTCCTTAGGGCCCAGGACCTCTAGGGTGTTGCTATTTATGGACCTTAAGGTCCTCCGTGGGGGATATTGGGAGAGGCGGACCTGTAGGTACGAGGGTCGTAGGCCATGAAGGGCTCTAAAGGTCAAAACCAGCACCTTAAATCTGACCCTGTACTCCACCGGGAGCCAGTGCAGCTGGAAAAGCACTGGGTGAATGTGCTCCCATGGCAGAGAAGTAGGGACATCCCCAGTGGCCGGGGAGTGGGGGGCTCCCTTAACTGTGTCACTGTCTTGGGGGTGAGAGGTGTCAGGTGACGGCTTCAAAAAGGCTCACTGTCAGCACCAAACAGTGGATTGGCACAGACACTGAACCTCACATGGTGTATTTGCAGGCACGGTTTGGATCAAAGCCACACCTGCAAATGGACTTTCATCTACAGGTGAAATATGTCTATTGATAGGTGTGGTTTGGATCCAAATGTCATGGACTGGCAGGATGCAGAAGAGTAGTGGGAGGTACAAGCTGGGCAACCCCCAGGGGAAGAAGGCTCATAGCCCAGGGCTTGGTGGTAGGACGACAATGAGTGGCCAGAAGGAGCAGACTCTTAGCGTTCCTGCTCCATGATTGCAGTCATGGGATTGTTGTATTTCACATGATGGTTTATGTTTTGACTCCACAGAGTGGGAAGTGACAGAGACAGGATGTTTGTGTTACTGTGTTCCGTGAAGTGGGACTATTGTCCTTTGTTCCTTTTCTCTTTGCTGTCTGATGCTAGAGAGAGAGGGAGCCATGTTGCAGTGCTCCGTGTGTGTTTATATGTAAATAAAGTAGATTAGCCAAAATGCTGAGTTGCTGAGGTTCTGTTACGCAAGCTGCGAAGACTCTGCAGATCCCTAAGTGTGCCGATGTCTGTTGGCCTCGGTCGCTGTGATGTTCCAGCTGAAGAAAGCTTTTGAAGCTCCCGAATGATCGACCAGGAGGGAGAGAACATGCCAGTCTGGAATGTGTCTCTGCCAGGGTCCAACTCGAGTGTAGGATGAGCTCCTGACACAGACTTGGGAGGAGGCGGCAGAAGAGGTAACGGTTTAGTGAGCAGGAAGAGGCTTTGGCAGAGAGCAGTTCTGATTCCAGGAGACAGAGATGAGGCCAGCTGCTGAAGAGTTCAGGTAGTCTCCCCTTCCTGCTGCAACCAGAATCCCTCCTCACTGGTCTCCCAGAACACACAGAGAAATGAAAAGAGCAGAGCTGAGATTACTTGTGTGCAGATATAGTCTCTGATTTATTGGGGGGAAAACCTTGGAGAAGAGGGGATTTAGGCAGCTGTGGGAAGGCGAGGACACTCAGTCCTTGCAACTGCCTCACAAGGACAAGATTACTGGAAAGTTTTCCTGGGAGCTCTAGACCTGCGCAGTTTTGGTTTCTTTAAACAAAGAGCTACCTTCATGGACACTGTGGTTTTTTAATTGCTGACTCCAGCTCCTGACACCAAACCACACCTGCAAAAAGGCCACCCCAAAAGAGCTCTGCTAGCCAAAGGGCTATTTTAAATTCCTGGATGTTCCTTTGCAGCCACATTTTCATGTGCCCATTGACCTGACCTCGCAGATCAAATGTGGGGGCAGCAGGGCATGCTTGGGGGCAAATGGCCCCCTGGGCCAGATTCGAACCCCTGCCAGGGCTAAGTTGGCTGGAGATCCCCCATGCCTTGTCTACACTGACTAGCAGGCGTGCCTCTCCCAGGCCTCCCTGAAGATGCTGTCAGGGCTGAACCTGAGACCTTCTGAATTCAGAGCAGATGTTCTACCCCTGACCTATGGCAGGCGAGAGAGCAGAAATGCAGCTAAATCCATAGCTGCTTCACTTTCCCCTTGGTTCTGTCAATTCTTTGGATAACCAGAAGATGTAAGCCTGGTACCCGCTGGCGTAAGGTGTGTGTGTGTGTGTGTGTGTGTTTGTGTGTGTGTGTGTGTGTGTGTCATATGCTTAGCACAAAGTGTTTGTGTAACTCAGATCTAAGACCTCGCTAGCTGCAAAGTGTTCAGATCTGAACGGGAGCTATTGAGAGTCGAGACTCACCTATTCATCATGGTCTTGGCTGTAAGCCGCGGCTTAATATAGCAGGCGGCTGTTTGATCACCTTGCCTCAGACGGAACCTGGTACCTATTTTGGGCCTCTGAGAGCAGCCACAAAGAGGCTGCAGGTGAACCGTCAGGCACATGCTCACTTTGGCTTATCTCTGCCATCTCCAGGTAAAGGGGTCTTTTGGTTGCAGGGGTACCAACTTGAATCAAATATCAGGGGGCCCAGGTAAGCCATGCCCCCCATAATTGATCACAAGACATGCCATGCACACACCATTTAAATGGCAGTGCCTATTAACTTGGGGGAGTCCCCTTCAAGTATTTTCTTGGGGGGCTGAAGGCACCTTGACCCTGGGAGTTGGCTCCTATGTTTGGTTGTAAGACTGGGGGGGGAGGAAATACCCATCTTTTGTGCAGCTCATGTTATTGCTTTGTTGTTCTTTAGAAATACTTCAGATGCTTTCTTTTTGTTGAAATATATAAAAAAATTATATAAATTATCCAGTAGCATCTTAAAGGTAAAGGTACCCCTGACTGTTAAGTCCAGTCACAGACGACTCTGGGGTCGCACGCTCATCTCGCTCTATAGGCCAAGGGAGCGGTACCTCTTCAACTACTTGCACTTTGTTGTGCTTTCGGACTGCTAGGTGGGCAGGAGCAGGGACCGAGCAACGGGAGCTCACCCTGTCGCGGGGATTCGAACTGCCGACCTTCTGATTGGCAATGCCTAGGCTTAGTGGTTTAGACCACAGCGCCTTAGAGACCAACTAAGTTTGTTCTTGGTATAAGCTTTCGCACACAAAAACTTGTACCAAGAACAAACTTAGTTGGTCTCTAAGGTGCTACTGGACAATATATATATATATATAGTGACTGCGTCAGACCAGCATGGCTACCTACCTGAATCTTTCTTTTTGTTGTAAGGGAGAGACACGAAACCTTTGATAGACTTTGAGGGCCGCATTCTCTTCTTGTCAAGCTTTTAGGGGCCACATCCCAGAAGTGGGCGAGGACAGAGGAGGCTGGTTCATCTGGGCAAATGGGGCACCCTGTCTGCCTTCATCTGTCTCCCACCTGCCTGCCTGCCTGCTTTCTCACAGCTAGCCAGCAGATGGCGCTGGCCACCAGCTTCCTCCCAAACACAACAGGGAGGAGCAAAGGAATGAACTGCACGCCATTGGCTCTGTCGCCACCTGCTGTTGCCTCCAGGAATTTCACACAACCAGTGGGTGCCATGCACTACTGGGCGGGGCCAGAGGCAAAAGTGGGTGGGGCCAGTGGATGTAAATGTTTCTACACACCTCTATCATGCATACAGACAAGCAAGAAGTCACCCTCCCAAAGGCCTGGTCAGAATCTTTCCCTGGGATAAAAGGCTAATAACAAGGTTGCCAGCTGTTCCTCTCAGAGGGGAGGTCATTCTGGAGATGAGGCACCACCACAGAGAAGGCCTTTTCATGTGACCCCAATCCCTGAACTCTACCTGGCGCTAGAACCACAAAGACAGCTTCTCTCCCACTCCAAATCCACCCACTTCAGATCCACACTATACAATTAATGCACTACACATTTATTCCTGCATTTCAGGGGGCTGGACTAGATGGCCTTTGGAGTCCCTTCCAGCTCTACAGTTCCATGATTCAGTATCAAACCACAGTCCCCTGTTCCCTTCACTTGGGTACAGTTCCTAGAGCGGTTTAGCAGTCAACCTCTCTTCCCAGGGAATTGTGGGAACTGTAGCTCTGTTATGGGGATAGAGGCCTCCTAACAAGCCCAGCGCCTTTAACAAACTACAGTTCCCATGATTCTTTGGGGGAGGCCTTGCTATAGCGCAGATGGAGCTGCAGACTAACAAATCACCCAGGTGTTAACTCCCTACCTTTGCTGGTTTTTTCTTTCCAGGTATCTGCAGAGGAGAAGCTTCTACAAGATGCCACCCACCTAGCGTCTGACGGCTCCAGCTCAGCGCTGTCACTGGCCATGAACGGCTGGTTGGTGATGTGGTGTTCCACTTCTACCAGTACATTCCTCCTGGCGTCCATGTGAATTGGAGCGCGCCCACACTCAAGCGCCCTGACCGGACTGCTCTCCGTTTGTTTGTTTTCGAATCGGGGAGCTGGGGCGAAAGGCCTCACCAGCTCCTGGCTACCTCCCTCTTCAAGGTTATCGGGAGGAAAGGAAAGACACTCATCTCATCAGCTTGTTTGTCGACACCTTTCTGGTGAGCCACAATGTGTTCATCTGTGGAAGGACCCAGAAATCAGTCCCTGCAAGGAAGCGTGTGATCCATCATGGGTTACAGCAAGGACTAATTCACATTAGCTTCTTTTGCCCCCCATATTTAGCAGGTCAGTAAAAGTTTCCTGCTTTGGTAGGCTGAAACAGTCTTAGGAACATCCCCAGCACACTAGGATTTTGCTGCCATCTCGGAAAACCTTCCAAGAATGGGTTGAAGTAGGCTATCGCCCCAACTTCTCCATGTTTTGAGTCAAAGAACTGGACTGCTTCATCATGCCAATACTCCCATCTTGCGGTAGTGACACCACCCAATCTCCATATTTTTTTTAAGAAGGGGAGGGGGAGGGAAGAACTGAGCGCTTTGTCCTTGAGACCTGGGTCTCCAGACTCAGAATGAGATAGACAAGTCTGGGTATCTTGACTCTCTCCTTGGCCACAATTTTTGGGTGGGAAATGGGGTCTATAATCTGTTGAGCGGAGGGCTTTGGTTTGAAAATCCATGCTTGTTTGGAGCTTCACGAGGAGAGTTTAGACAGGACCAGCAGGACTGAACTTCTGAACCACCCATTCTTACCAGCAAGGCATTGACTTGGTTCCAGCACAGCACCTCGAAGGATAAAACCACACCTCACCTGATACTCTACAAGAGAGCAATTGTAGATGGACCTGGAATCTTCTCATGCAACTGGTGTGTGCTTCTTCAGCCTGGGTGGCCCTTCTAGACACTTGTATTGAAGGCCGATTCATGCTGCTGATTCACTGAACTCCTCAACGCAATCCACTGAGTTAAATTTGAGAGACTCCCTTACTTTCCTCAGTGATTTTCAAAGGACAGTTTGGTACTTACCGCAGAAAACCCATCCCTGTAATTTGGTCCAGGAAAGAGATTGCAGGACAGAAGTCTTTAAAATCTTAATCTCAAACATTTCAACCGTCTGGTATTTTGAGATCCCCAAACAACACATCTTGCACATCCAAACATTTGCTGCCGGAAAACAGAAGCCACTGGAATCGGAGGCAGAATGTCACCTTCAGGACTGATGTCCAGATGCACAAATTGACCACTCAGCCAAACGTTTGAATTATATATTCTCAGAGAAGGACTGTTTTGGGTTGTGAGTGGATGTAATGGATATTCCATCTGTGGCGGGTTTCTGATCAGCAATGGCTGGTCCACAGGTCCAAGGGAATATTTATAGCAAGCGATGGTCCTGGGAGTGTCAACTGGGTCTATGGGGGTGGGAATTACTCCTTCCACCGTCCCAACTTGCCTACCAATGCATTGCATCTCCCATTCATGGTCACGGCTCATGTGGGTCAACCATAGTTAGATTCCGACACAATACTTTGACCCCAATTCAAGATGGAGGTCAGCCCCCATGGAGAGCATTCTGATCAAGGGACTGCAAGGCCCTGAACCTTGTATTGAAATGTGGCCTCCTTCTTCTTGTGCAAAGGATTATTTTTTAAGAAAACACACACAGAAACCGACCTACCTACATTCCAGAGCTCTCCAGGGCTCAACATGCAGAGATTTGTTCTTACGGAAGGGAATGCTTTCCTCTTCATGCGTGCATCAGAATTCCGGCATGCCCAGCAAACTTGTTGGGTGGTGCACATGAGCACACAAATTTGGCAAAGCTAGAAAAGGCAGGGATGATTAGCTTGGGGGGAGTGAAAGGGAGCTCATTCCAGTACAATACCATCCCATCCACCTACAAAGCAACTTGGAGGTATCTTCATCTATATTGGCCACTAGCTGGTTCCTTGATTCCCGGCCCAGAGATGGATTTAGGGGCAGCGCAACTGGTTATGCCACACTGGGCACCAAGCCTAGGGGCACTGCAGACCATCACAACTATAATGTAGTGAATTGAGCAGGGCAAAAGGTCAAAGAGGCAGAGAGCACTCAATTTTGGCCTCGCAAAGGGCACCACTGAAGTTTGAAAAGCCAAAGTCTGCCCTGCCTGGTTCGCTGAACTAGAACTGCATTTCTATAGACTGGTTCTGCCCGAAGGATATTTCTGCCCCTTGCCATCTGAGACACACATCCTAAAGATATTCTGCAGCTGGGATGAGGAACCTCAGGTCCAGAAGACAGCCTACTGCACAAACACAAAATTCGCAATTGTCACTCATTCTTGCCCCTCTGGTCCCACCTGCCACTGGTATGTGGCCCTCCAGAATGCCATGTGGCCCTTGAATGGAAAGAGATCCGCCAGCCATGTTCTGCAGCATTGCAGAGCAGTGTTTGCAACCCCTCCTTTGCAACATCGGCAGGTGATTCTTCGCTGCACCGGTGGCTTTTATCTCATGTTTTTATCCCGCGAACCGCCCTGAGATCTTTTGACAAAGAGTCGTATATAAATCCGATAAATAAATAAAATAAGTAAATAATAAAGGTTGGCATTTGCTCAGTTCACACACCCCAGAAACAGCCTAGATCAGGCATCCCCAACCTTCGGCCCTCCAGATGTTTTGGACTACAATTCCCATCATCCCTGACGACTGGTCCCATTAGCTAGGGATCATGGGAGTTGTAGTCCAAAACATCTGGAGGGCTGCAAGTTGGGGATGCCTGGCCTAGATGTTTCAGGTGACCATTTGGTCACTTCGTTCAGCTTGCATTTCTGAGGACACTGCAAACATTTCAAGTCCTTTGGCGGTGACGGATGCTTTTCACATTAAGGCAGAAGGTAACTGATGGAGCCCACTGACTCAGAGCTCCTGGTTTTGTTTGTTCAGACACATCAAATGTTCACCTGACATGCTGCACATTTTCCTGGCTGCAAACCAGAGGTGGAGGGCTTGGCATTTTCTTAGCACTTGGTCGCCAAAGTGGTGGAAAGAAAATCTGGGGAGAGCACTGAAATCCCAAAAGAGGGTCTCAGACTTCCGAGTCTGCTATCAAATTTTGGAAAATCACTAGAATTTAAGTATTTTAGAAAGGGGGGCAAGTAGTACAAAAGAATCTCACGGTTATCACCAGCATGACGTAGTATCTTCTGGCTGGAGAAATATGTGGAAAGGGGAGAAGGTTTAAAAAGCAGATGGCCGCAACCGATATAAACTCATATTTCCATTGGCAGTCGTTGAGTTGATTTGCAGATTATTTTTCTGGAATGTGATGGGTGCCTAGCTGTTATTTATCCTAAGAGATAAAACTTAGCTGTGTCCCTTCCAACTCTACAATGCTATGATTTTATTATCCCCCACCCCTGCCCTGTCCCCAGTTTTCATGATGGAAAAACCTACAGCAGAGCCTGAGAAATCCCAGAATAAACCTAAAGAGGTTTGGCAGAGGAGAATTCAGGCATCTTTGCGCATTCCCTTGCCCCTTGAGGGTTTAGAACATCTTTGCCACCCTGTTTCCAAATCTAGCTTTGCCCGCCAGGCGTAAACCAAGTTGAATCGCTACTCTCCAAGTTCAAACCAACGTAGCTCCATTGACTGGAACAGGAGAAAAGCGATCCAGAATCCCACCAATCCTATTTGTCTTCTGGATGACGCCTCATGAGAGCTAGAAACCTGCAATCTAAAACAAATAGCAAAGCCAATGATTTCGGAGTGAGGGGAGGCGTTGCCAGCTGCGGCTGCGGGTCAAAACATCTGAAGGGCAGCAGGTTGGGGAAGGCTTTTGTAGGATCATAAAAGGGCCCTATGGGATGCGGGTGGCACTGTGGGTTAAACCACAGAGCCTAGGACTTACCGATCAGAAGGTCGGCGGTTTGAATCCCCGCGATGGGGTGAGCTCCCATTGTTTGCTCCCAGCTCCTGCCAACCTAGCAGTTTGAAAGCACGTCAAGTGCAAGTAGATAAATAGGTACCACTCCGGCGGGAAGGTAAACGGCGTTTTCATGCACTGCTCTGGTTCTCCAGAAGTGGCTTAGTCATGCTGGCCACGTGACCCGGAAGCTGTATGCCAGCTCCCTTGGCCAGTAAAGTGAGATGAGCGCCGCAACCCCAGAGTCGGCCATGACTGGACCTAATGGTCAGGGGTCCCTTTACCATTTTAAGAGGGCTCTGGCAGGACCAGGACAAAGGTCCATACCAGTTCACATCCTGTTTCCAGCACAGGTCAGACAGGTGCTGCTGAGGCCATTCTGTGTTGCTCCTCCTCCTCCTCTGCTTTTCTTTTTCTTTTCAGCACAGCTGAAATTAGTCGGCACTATTACTAAAAACAGAGATGCCCAATAGGGTTTCTTCCAGGTGTTTCTGGAGAGCAGCATCCATCACCCTGACCCATGCTGGCCAGAATGAGGGTGCCGTCTCGCTGCAAACCCCATTCTCGTTTTTTCTCTGTTCGGACCACCCCGTCTTTTGTTATCTTATTGTTTTCTTATCGCCACCTCCTTAACCCTGCCGATGGTTCTCCAAATTACTGCTCCTGTTTTTATCTCCGCAGCACTTTCAATTTTGCAAAGTGCGCTTTGACCCTTCACATATTTCTTCTTCACCCTGAACAGCAAATTGCTTTTGTGCCCATTCTACAGACAGGAAACTGAGGCTGTGAAATAACATATTGTCCAAAGCCAAAGACCATGTCTACTGAAGGGGTGAGCCTCACATTACCAATCACTTTCTCTCTGCTTTTCAAGGAAGCTTGGCTAAAAGGTCCCTAATTTCCGGAAATGCCCTCTTTGCCCAGACAGTAAAGGATAGTAACATTCTGCCAATGTCTACATAGACTTGCCTTCTGTTGCTTGTGACTTGAGATGGGTATTAGGAAAAGACACCCTACGTTTACACCCAGAGCATGGGCGCCGCTCTGGCAGTGGCCAGGTGAAAAAATATATAATATAAGGTCAGTTCTGATTCTTACGTTTCAGGGGGTTGGGCTAGATGGCCTTTGAGGTCCCTCCCAGCTCTGTGGTTCTATGATTCTAAGATGTTCTCATCTCTGCAATAAGACAAAACACAAAAACCTTGATGCTGGAGAGGGGAAGTGCTCCCAAGATCACACATGGGTTTATAGGGGGGGTTGGTTATACTTTTGGGATCTAATCTGTACTTTCTGTATGTATCAGTATTAAAAAAAATGTACCCTGAAATAAAGCAGATGTGGATTCTTTTCCTGAATAGGTTGGTCACTTTTATGTTGCCTCTTTAAGAATTTAGGAACATGAGGATTATCGGGGTGGGTGAGACCGTACAAGGGCATGAAGGTTTTCCACCAATGAAGTGGCCGAATGCCAAAATTACAGGTTGGGGGAAGAAGGCATTCGATTTTACGATACAATAATCTTTATTGTCTTTGTCCCATACAGAACAATGAAATTGAAAAATCTACACCAGACATTCAGAAACCCACAAGCCTGCTATCCCAGCCTGGTTAACCCCCTAAAAACTCTGATACCCCATTTCTAAATACAATATACTCCCATAGAGACTACCTTACACTGCGTTTAAAACCAAAATCACATTTGGATAGAAACTGTTTCACAGGCACCTGGCCCTAGTCTTTATAACCCTGTACCTTCTTCCAGAAGGCAGAAGCTGAAAGAGATCATTTCCGGGGTGCGCACTATCCTGCGCTATCTCTGCAGCTTTCTTATGGCACCTGGAAGCATAGATTTGATCCCAGGTGGGAAGAGTGCACCCAATTATTCTCTCCGCAGTCTTTACAACCCTGGACAGCATTGTTTTCCCCCTGGCCGTGCAGCTCCCAAACCACACACAGAGACCATAAGTTAATACACTCTCAACAGTACAATGGTAAAATGCCATCAACAGGTCCTTTGAGAGATTGTTTTTTCCAGAGAATTCTCAGAAAATATAACCTCTGCTTGCTCTCTTCATCAGGTCTTTGCTGTTTGTCTGTTTGCTGCCTGCCCTTCACCCTAAGGTCCCAGGATGGGTTACAGCCTTAAAATACAATATCAAAACATCAGGAAGAACTTTCTGGCAGTAAGAGCTGTCCAAGAGTGGAACGGTCTCCCTCAGGAGGTGATGGACTCTTCTTCCTTGATGGTTTTGAAGCAGAGGTTGGATCACAGCTGTCAACCTTTCCCTTTTTTTAAGGGAAATTCCCTTATTCCGAATAGGATTCCTCACAAGAAAAGGGAAACGTTGACAGCTGTGGGTTGGATCGCCATCTGTC